TGTGTGGCAGCTGAGGGAGCGGAGGCGGTTATGACGAAACCCAGTCCCGCCTCCTCAACCAAGCAAGTGGTGTGGTCACCACGTCCGTCCGGCCCGTTCCTGCTCCCACACTAAGTTGATGGTGCGCGTCGCCAAGCCCCGGCCAGGCCTGTTCCATGCCCCTCGCACCAAAGCCTACGGTTGCGCGTCGCCCAGCCCGGCCCCGGCCTGTTCCTGTCCCGCCCCAAGCCAATGGGTTGCGAATCGCCAGCCCGGCCCGGCATGTTCCTGCCACTCGACACCAAGGCCTACGGTGAGCGTCCGCCAGCCGGCCCGGCCTGTTCCTGCTCCCCGCACCAAGCAAGATGCGCGTGCGCAGACCGCCGGGGCCTGTTCCTGCACTCGCACCAAGCCAGGGTTGCGAATAGTCAGCCCCGCGTCGGTCCAGTTGGTGATCCACGCACCAAAGCCAGCGGTCTCGGGTGGAATCGTAAGGCCGGCAAGGACAGTTCCGCTAAACGCACCCAAGACAGGGAGGGGCCCAGGGTACGGGCCCCAGGGGGGTTTGGGGGAACCCCACCATTTTAAAGGGGCATGGGCCCGGGGGGCAGGGGAGGGTGGGGGGGATTTTGGGGGGGTGGGAGGGTTTAAGGAGGCAGGAGAGGAACCAGCCGGGGTTAAAAACCCGTCCCGTCCCCCGGGGTTTCCACCTGGTGGCCCTTTTTCCCCCAATGGGTTGTTTTTTATGGCGTCCGGGGCCTGTTTTGCCCTGGCCCCAAGTCCCCGGGGGCCCCCCGGGCCCCGGTTTTCCCGTGGGCAAAGAAAGGTTTTCCATTTGGGGCCCCTGTTCCTTGCCCCTGGTTTGGCCCAGCCCCCGGCCGTTCCTTTTTTGAAAACAAGAAATAGGGTGCCACCGGCCCCGGCCCCTGTTTTCCACTCGACAACCATCCACTCCCCCGGGGCCCCCCTTTTCCCCACGACCAACGGGGGCGACTCCCCCCCGGGCCCCCCTTCTGTACCCCCCAAACGGGGCCTCTCCCTTCCGGCCCTTTTCCCCCCCCAAAAAAAGGGGGGCCACTCCCCCCGGCCCTCTCTCCATGCCCCCAAACCCAGGGGGCCTCTCATCCCCCCCTCCTTTTAAACGTTTCCTTAAGTCCCCCTTCACTCTCCCCCACCATTTAAACAAATCCCTCTACGGCCATCCCCCAGAACCCAAAGGGGACCCACCTACGGGGGGAATTTTTAGGGGGGGGGAAAAACCCATCCAAAAACCCCCCCCGGAAAATCCCACCCGCCCCCCCCTTTTGGGTTATTTACCCCCAGGCCCTTTTTGGGGCTTACCCCCTTCAACCCTGGCTCTGGGACTCTATTGTTACCCGGGTGGGGTTTTTAGGTTCTTTTTTGTTGTTTTTATTTTTTGTATTAAAATTTTGGGCCGAGTTTTCCCAATCAGAGGCAAAGTGTCAGCTTTTGCGGGTTTTCTCGTTTGGGAGCCATATTTATAAGGCTTTTTCCCACATAGTTGTGGGACTTTTTCCCTTTGGTTTTTTCCGTGTTGGTTGTGTTAAACTAGGACTTTCCCTGGGTTTATCGTTTTGTTTTGTTTTTTATCACTAAAGATAATAAAAAATTTTTTATCACCTGCGGGCCCTTTGGGCTCTCCGTTTAAAGATCGTGACAAACCTCCCCACCAGGACCCACCCCTTCCGGACCCCCTTATGAAACCCCCTTTATGGAAAATTCCATCCGAAACCCCTTTCCAAGGACCCACCCCCCCAGGACCCCCCCCCTCCCAAAGGCCCCCTCCCCCCAAGGGACCCCCCCATAGGGGGCCCCCCCCTTCCCCGGGGGCCCCCCCATCAGGCCCATTTTAAAGGGAAACCCCACCAGTGGGAATTCCCAAAAGGAATTCCAAGTACCCCCTTTCCCCCCCCGGGGGGAAAACCCCACCCCGAAAACCCCCCCTTTTCCCTGGCCCCCCAATACGGAAAAACCCTTCCCCCACTCAACCACTTCTCCCCGGGCCCTCTCCCCCCCTATGGCCTCCCCAACGCCACCCCTTTCCCTGCCCTCCCCACTACGTCCCCCCCACCTGTCCCCCCCCCAACCAAAGGGCCCGCCCCCCCCCCCGGGGGCTGCCCAAAGGGGCCGGGGGGGTTTCAGGCTTTTTTGTTTGAAATGGAAGGGAGAGGGTTCCCAAAACAACAGGGATGGGGGAGGGGGAAAAAACACGTTTTTCCAGTAAAATTTTGGGGGCTTTTGGCCCGGGGGGGGTTTTGCCTTTTTTTTGTTAAAAAAAGCCAGGTCGTTTTGTTTTTTTGGGGGGTTTTTTCCCCCAAAAAAAAATTGTTTTTCATCCGGCCCCCTTTTCTTTCCGTCCATGTACGGGAAAACTCCACCCCGGACCAAGCACGTTCCGAGCAGCCCCCTGGCGGGGGGAAAAAAGGACCAGGGGCCGGGGGAAAAAGGGGGGAGGACGCCCCCTCCAGGAAAGGGGCCCAAGCCCCGGGGGGAGAAGGCCACTGGTGTCGGAGGGCCCCCAGGGTTTGGGGGGTATTGGGGGCCCAGAGGGGGAAGGAGTTAGTGGTGAGAGGGTTGGGGTTTTGGAGGCGGATAAGGGGGGGGGGTGAGAAGGGAGGCAGGGCGAAAAAGGAACTGTGTAGGCAGCTGAGGGGGGAGGGTTATGACGAAACCCAGTCCCGTCCCACACCAAGCAAGTGGGTCGTCCCAGTCCGGCCGGCCCGTTCCTGCCCCCGCACTATTTGATGGGGGGCGCGTGCCAGCCCGGCCCGGGCCTGTTCCCCCCCTCGCCAAGCTGGGTGGCGTCGCCAGCCGGCCCGCCTTTTCCCTGCCCCGCCCAACCCAAATGGTGCCGGCCACCCCCCGGCCCCCGGCCGTTCCTGCCCCTCGCACCAAGCCTAGGGTGCGGTCGCCACCCGGCTGTTCCGCCCCCCGCACCAAACCCAAAATGGGGGGGGAGGGGGGTGCCCTCCCCCCACCAAGAGGGCCCCGGGAGGGGGGGTTTTGAGACAAACAGGGATGCCCCCGTACCCGGCCCGGCCCTTGTGCACGCCCCAAAAGAGGGGTGCGTCGTCACCCCGGGGCCCGTTGCTTCCCGCACCAAGCCGGGGGTGCGCATCTAAAGCCCGGTCCCCGTTCCTGTCCACGCCCCAACCCGGGGGTGCGCGTCGTCATCCGGCACAACCCTGCCGGGGTTTACCTCCGGGTCAGGTACCGGTCGGGTGCCCACACGGAGTTTAAGCAACCCGCCCCTACGATTCCATCCAGCCGCCCCGGGGCCAGACCGGACCGGGGGCCCCAACGGGGGGTTATTGGAGGGGGTGGGCAACCCCGGACCAAAACCGCCCCGGGGAGGAATCCCACCCAGCCCTCCCCGTTTGGTTTATGTTGAGGCACGGTCGCAGCCCCGCCTTTGGGGGGGGGGGGGGGGGACGTCAACCCCGGCCTTTTGGGGCTCAATATGTTGGCCAGGGGTGTGTAAATTTTAGTTTTTTGTTCTTGTTGTAATTTTATTTATTGTATTTCAATGTTGGGCCCGAGTGGTTCCCAATCAGAGGCAACGGTGTCAGTGTTGCTGGTTTTTCTTATTGGGGCCATATTTTTACAGGTGTTTTCCACAGTAGTTTGGGATTGTTCCCTTTTTTTTCGTGTTGGTTGTGTTAAACCTAGGACTTCACGGTGTTTCGTTTGTTTTTTTTTATTAATCATAAAGATAATAAAAATGTTTGCTCATCCGCTGCGCCTTTGGGGTTCTCCTTCAACGATTGACCCCCTCCCTATCACGTGACCCATCTCCCACTCCCGGGGACCCATCTCCCTATCCCCGTGACCCCTCCCTATCACTTTCCCACCCCTACCCCGTGACCCATCTCCCCACCATGTGCCATCTCCATCACGTTACCCATCTCCCTACTCCGGGAACCCTCTCCTTTCAACTGTGACCCTTCCCACCACTGTACCCATCTCCCTATCACTGGACCCTCTCCCCCTCCAAGGGACCCCTTCCCCACTCATGTGAAACCCTCTCCCTACTAACGGGGGCCCATCTCCCCACTCACTGTGACCCATCTCCCTAATCCAAGGGACCCATTCCCTACTCCAAGGGACCCATCTCCCTACTCACTGTGACCCATCCCTATCACTGAACCCTCTCCCCACTAATTGACCATCTCCCTACTCCGGACCCAAATTTCCCCCACTCCAAGGGACCCCCTTTCCCCATCACTGGACCATCTCCCCACTCATGTAACCCTCTCCCCCTTAACTTAAATGGGACCCCTCTCCCTTCCAAGGGACCCATTTAATCCCACCCCACCCCGACCCATTCCCCCCCGGGCCCATTTTCTCACTGTGACCCATCCCCTTACTTCCTTAACCCATCTCCCTACCCCCCCAAAAGGGACCCATTCCC